GAGCTTAAACAGAGTTATCTATGTACCTTGGCAGCCTTTCTTCACAATGCTGTATCTTAGCTTAACTGCTTGCTGAAGTTGGTTCAGACTTGCACTGCAGCAGATATGGAGAGATGCAAATGTTCTGTTGCACTGCCCAGACATAAAGCAGTACCCCGATTAGGAGAGAGAGGATAGAAGAGTTAATGTTAGGACATCTTCAGCTGGACCTTATCTAAGAGCAACTCGTCATGCCCTTGAAGTGCCTTGATCCTCGGATAAAAACTAACTCCCGAAATTACGATACTGACTGCTCTTCTCATATAGGCAGATTTCACCATGCGCACCACAGAGGCAGAGGGATCAGAAAATGCATCATACTTGCCACTTCCCTGACTACTATCAGAGAGAGAGAAGAGGGAATCCTAGAAATATTTTCATTTATTTTACCTCCTACCCCCAGTCCACCTAAATGTTATGACTGACAACAATTCTGGGCAAGAATAAGGACAGGTTCCATTTCAACATGGCATGTCATCAGTAAAGGCCTCCCTCATACATCAGAAACGCGAACTTTTGTGATGCAAAGAATTTAGCTCACGTTCTAAAGTTAACAAGTGTCTCCTGTATACATTGGCAAAGCTCATGGGGAAGTGAGTAGCAAAGTGGTGCTGCAAAAAAAGTTGCAATAGCAAACATGACAATTTAGAAGGATCCAGGAAGATATGGAGAGTACTCTTGAGAAGGCTGAATTTCTCCCCCCAGGCAATATCTATGCACAGACACATTGATCAAGGGGTACAATTGGGCATGAAATGAATCCTGGAACACAACCTCATGAAGGAAGGGACTTGTAAGCAGTAAGAATCATGGGAATCACAGTGTATACTGCTCTCTTGCATGTGATCTGCATAACACAGCATCAGCTGTTACTGCACATGGCTTGATTTAAGCATGCTGATTTAATATTTACAGAGTGCCAATAAAATTTTTATGATGACAGCTGGTGGCTCACGTGGTAATTTATAAACAGCAACAACAACACAACATGGACATCAGCAACTCCAAGAGGAGTTTCCATACTATTTTGCAATATTCAGCACTGAAGAATCTGGATATTTTTCTGATTTTTCAGACTTTCAATAGTCTTTGCATAATACTTCCACACTGGACTTTATATAAAACAAAGTCAATACTTCCCCTAAGTATGTTTTCTCCTTTAGAAAGGACTTCACCATAAAGACTTATTATTGTCTATCAGAGAATTCTCGATCAAATCTGTTTAGATTCCAGTATAAGTGTCAGAAATTTTCCATATTTAGAGCCTTTACAAGTTTAGTTGGGAAGTCAAGCACATACTTTCCTGCTTTTCTTCTGGCACTGTGCTTCCCCAGAAGAAATATTAACAAATGAGAATTTTTCTGCTGATAACTGAGCCAGAATAGACCACTGCCCTTGCTCCAAAACTTGTGTTCTCTCTGCAAATCCATGAGCAGAAAATAGAAAAATGCAATCTATCTGAAGATGACTGATCTAGCGACTAAATAAAGGCCATTATCAGAGCTGCAAATATCTGGTACTGAGTAGGAAATGACATTATTTGCTTGTCTGATTCTTTTTCATTCTGTAAAAAACTTTCTTCTAGCATACTCTCCCTCGCATTTATCTTTCAGTTTTATTTCTCCATTCGTTTTTGTTCTCTCCTTTTTTTTTTTTTATATTTACACTTGTTCTTCATGTCAGTGGAAAGCTTTCACAAACCACATATTATATCTTACGCATATAAGCAGAAACTGATGTGTGAAATATGTCATGGACTAGAGGCACAGGCTGGCTTTTATTACGTTTCCGTTTTATCTATGTTTTTTAATAGTCCAGTGAATCACTCTGTTTTCAGTGTTACCTGTTCTCAAGGATATGCGTAAGTTGTTCTTTGAGGCATCCCTGTTTTCTGGTTTACCTGAAATATGTTTCATTCTCTTCACAGACAACTCTCAGTTCCTCTAGGAATAAATATTTACAAGTCAGAGAAATCTTAGTTGGAAATGCTAACAATTACCCTGAATAACAGAAGATCACAGACACTCAAAAAAAATCAGGGAAAGGGCAAAAAATCTCAACAAAAGTTTGAAATCCACCTGAACTCTAAGCTGACTTTACATTTTGGGCACTTGCTTTTCAGAAAAACATTTATGATGAAATTTTAGGAAGAATGTATCAATGCTAAAGAGCAGTTTCCTGTATCACAGCTGATCACTGCATTACTCTTCAGGCTTCCCATTTAATTTATTATTGTGTAGGAAAAATGCTCCAGGGCAAGAGTCCATCTATTTAGAGTGGGAACCATGCCACTCAAACAGATGGGGATATCTCTAGGTAGCCAAGAGATCATGTATGTGCATCAGCTCTGGGTGCTCAAGGCATGATTCCCAGCTGGGAATGCTGAAACTGCTGTCCATTACAAGCTGCCTGTGGCGATCAGCCACTGCTAATCCCTCTCTGGACAGAATTAACTTTTAAAAATAAAAATTTGCTCCATAGCAAATGTCCCATATAAGGGACTTCTGTGAGCTGAGTATGGAGACGGAGACATTGACCTCATCTGCAGCACTTCCATTTGGGTAGACAATCACTAAGGAGATGAAGGAGAGGACCTTTCTTGATTAATGCTTTGTTTGGGACTGAGTTCATCTTTCAGCGTTCTCCTGAGCTTTAACTGGACAAAAACAAATTCATATTCACAAGAAGATTAAGAAAAAACAGAATCTGAAAGAAATATGTTCTTCTGGTTTTCCTTCTCTCCTCTCCTTTCCATATCTGACATAGGTTGCCAGAAAAGTGGCAGCATGAAAGTGGACTAATCGCTGGTTCTGTCGTACACACCGCACTTCCCTGTCCACCAGTTTTTACTACTGATTGCATTCCTAAGCTATTATGGCTTCAGAAGAAAGCAGCTAATTCTGAAAGTCAACATGTGGACAGCACTACTGGACCCTGATACACTGCAGGTGAGAGGAGGCCAGGATGGTCTCTAGGAGGGCGCACTAGTGGGCTGTACTGGAATAGGCTCCACGGCCATGCCACACTGAGCTCCCTGCAGACTGATGCCTCGTGACAACCGCACCAGTGCCGCCTTAGAACAGGCAGGCAACAAACAAGCAGGAACAACCCTGTAATGTACATATGTAACACCCTTCTACAGCTTTAACCAAGAACTGCTACAGTAATAAACACACAATGCAAGAGTTACAGACTCTTTTTTAGCCTGCAGCTAGGGAAGGAAGGCTACTGCAACACGACCTCTTCCTATGCACACAGTGGCAGTAAGGTGCTGGGAAGCTAAGCGCACTCCACGACGATAGCGGTAACGTTACAGGGTAAAAAGCCCCTTCG